TGCAAACACACACACTGCTTCTCTTACATACACTCAGAAACACAATGCATTTCTTACACACACTCAGTGCCAGCGGCGTACATACCGCGGTCGTAGCTGCGACCGGGCCCGGCACTCCAGGAGGGCCCGGCCACCCTGCGGACCCCTGCGACCGTGTACCAGGCCTGCTGCCACATTTTGCGGCAAACCGCCGGGGGCGTATAGGGGTCCATTGGGTGGCCCATGCTGTCAGGGCCACTCGATGAATATGGATTGTGATTGTGATTACATCATCGCTGGGAGGAAGTGATTCCCCGGTCACTCCTCCCAGCATACTGAGAGCCCGCGCAGGAGGAAGGAGGAGAAGGAGGAGGGAGTCAGAGTGGGAACTCTGACTCCAATCAGGCTGAGCCACCACTGGACCCCAGGGAGTACCCCAGCGAGCACTTTTCTTCCTGGCTTCCCCACTTCCTCTCATCTAGCACTCCTTCCCTTATACTTGGGGATTTCAATATCCCAATCAATAACCTCAATTGCACTGATGCCTCTCGTCTGCTCTCTGTAACCTCCTCCTTTGGCCTTACGCAATGGTCCAATCTAGCAACCCGTACAGCGGGAAACACTCTTGATCTTGCCTTCACCAACCTCTGTACTGCCTCTAATCTCTCCAATATTCCTTTTCCTCTATCTGACCACCATCTGTTGACTTTTGACATTGGCATACCTAAAACCCAATTGACACCACCGTCTGAACATCACTCTCACAGAAACCTCCAATGTCTTGACCTAGAGCATTTCTCCACTAATCTCCAAACTCTCCTTTTACCTATCTCAAACCTCACCTGTCCTAGTTCTGCAACCTCCTTCTACAATTCCACCCTCTCCACTCAACTAGATATCATGGCACCTTGTACATTTAAACGCCGCAGGCCCCCCCAACAACAACCCTGGCACACCAAGCTCATTCGATACCTCCAAAAATGCTCCAGAACTGCTCAACTGATCAACGCTGTTGGAGAAAGTCTCACTGTGCATCTGACTTTCTCCACTATAAATTTATGCTGAGCTCATACAGCTTGGCTCTTTCCTCTGCAAAAGTTAATTACTTTAATACCCTCATGACCACACTCTCCCGCGAACCCAAACAACTATTTCACACATTTAACTCTCTTCTTCGCCCTGCTGTTCCTCCTCCACCTACTAACTTGACTTTGCAACTCAGACTTTGCAACTCACCTCACCGACAAGATCTCTACAATCTTTCTTCTTCCCCTTACAATTCTTCCCCTAACATCACTCCCTCTGCTGTTCTATGTTCATTCGCACCCGCTACATTGGAAGAGGTTTCTGCTCTGCTCCAGTCCTCCCGTCCCACCACCTGCTCCCTAGATCCAATTCCCTCGCATCTCATCCGTCTTCTTCTCTTTCTCCACCTCTCACTAAAATTCTCAATCTCTCTCTCTCCTCTGGTATATTTCCATTGCCCTTCAAACATGCAACTGTAACCCCAATTCTAAAGAAGCCCAATCTTGACCCTAACTCCCCATCCAACTATCGTCCTATCTCGCTACTGCCTTTTGCACCCAAGATCCTTGAAAAAATTGTGTATGCGAGATTGACAGACTTCCTCGAGTCCAACTCTCTGCTAGACCAGCTTCAGTCTGGTTTCCGCGCTAAGCACTCTGTGGAAACGGCACTGACCAAAGTATCCAATGATCTACTTGCTGCAAAATCTCGTGGTCACTACTCTATCCTAATTCTCCTTGACCTGTCTGCGGCTTTTGACACTGTTGATCATCAACAGCTTCTTCTCATCCTCCGCAATATCGGTCTACAAGATATTACTCTCTCCTGGTGCTCCTCCTACCTCTCCCAGCGCTCTTTCAGTGTTTCTTTCTCTGGCTCTGCTTCTTCTCCCCAACTCCTCTCTGTTGGTGTCCCCCAAGGTTCAGTCCTTGGTCCCCTACTGTTCTCCATCTATACTGCCTCCCTTGGTAAACTCATTAGCTCCTTTGGCTTCCAATATCATTTCTATGCAGATGACATGCAAATCTACCTGTCCTCTCCTGATCTCTCCCCGTCCCTCTTGGCTAGTGTCTCTGACTGCCTCTCTGCTGTTTCTAACTGGATGGCTGCCCACTTCCTTAAACTAAACTTCACCAAAACTGAAATTCTGGTCTTTCCTCCCTCAAGTGTTGTTACTCCTGTGTCTGTCTCCCTCCAAGTCAACGGTGCTACCATCAGCTCCACCACGCAGGCTCGCTGCCTAGGTGTTCTCTTTGACTCCGACCTCTCCTTCAAGCCTCATGTTCAATCTATCGCCAAATCCTGTCATTTTCATCTCAAAAACATTGCACGCATCCGCCCCTACTTAACGCCAGATGCGACTAAGGTGTTGGTCCATTCCACTGTCCTTTCTCGCCTTGACTACTGTAATCCGCTTCTCAGTGGTCTTACGTGCTCCCAACTTGCGCCGTTACAGTCCATAATGAATGCGGTGGCGAGGCTCATCTTCCTGTCCGCCCGCACTCCCATGCCTCACCCTTCTGTCAGTCCCTACATTGGCTTCCTATAAAATATAGAGCTCAATTTAAAATTCTGGTTCTTGCTTTCAAATCTCTACATAATGCTGCTCCCACCTATCTATCCTCCCTTATACACAAGTATGTCCCGTCTAGGCCCTTACGATCCGTTGAAGACTTACGTCTATCTTCAGTCCGTACTCCCACCTCTGATGCTCGCCTTCAAGATTTCTCGAGGGCTGCACCGTTCCTGTGGAACTCGCTTCCCTCCTCCGTTAGATGCTCACCCAGTCTCCACTCCTTCAAAAAATCGTTAAAAACCCACTTCTTCATAAAAGCGTATCAATTAAACTGTTAATAGCTCCTGACTGATTCCTCTTCTGCAACTGTCACTAGTCTAATACTATCCTAAACCTTTTTGTGTCATTTTACCCCACTCCCTCTAGCATGTAAGCTCATTGAGCAGGGCCCTCAACCCCTCTGTTCCTGTGTGTCCAACTTGTCTGGTTACAACTACATGTCTGCTCGTCCACCCATTGTAACGCGCTGCGGAATTTGATGGCACTCTATAAATATCATAATAATAATGTGTCTGTATCTGTGTGTGTGTGTGTCTGTGTCTCTGTATGTTTATGTCTCTGTATGTGTATGTCTCTGTATGTGTGTCTGTGTCCCTTATGCATACAAACACAGATTCACACAATGCATCCCTTACACACAATCAGAAACACACAATACATCCCTTATACACTGCTTCCTCTACACACACACACTGCTCATCTGGATGTAAGTAGGCAATCTAGTATATTATTAGTGACACTAATCTCTAATTTACACATTAAATGGCAGCCATGGGGTGTAACCAGGTAATTTATAAAAGTGTGAATTTCTATTGAATTCTGCACTCCTTATAAAATGAAAGAAAAGAGGACAAATTCTTCACAGCAGTTCAGCAAGTTCCTTAAGTGTTTAGAGTGTCAATACAACAGGTGTAGGGTTTATAACTATAGGTTTATATAATACTCATTCAAAGATTTGGGGTTCGTGTCATTATGTGGGATACATGTATTCCTGGGTTGAATTCCCTGAGCTTTTTGCCAGCTAGCAATATCCCTGGCATTCAGTGTGCTGCTTACAGTATAAGCTCTGCAAAGCTATTAATGTGAGCCAAGTGGGAGTTCAATGCAGAAGCTGCACAGCCTGTACAATTGCTGTAAATGCAAAAATCGTAAAATGCAATTATCTATTTTTTTTATATTTTTAATTTACTAAAAAAAATGAATGGCTCAACAGCCAGCTGCAGTCTTAACTCTAAGATTTTACAGCACCTTAAATTTGCTATTATTATTATTATTATTATTATTAGAATTGATATATAGCGCCAAGTATTCTGCAGCACAATGCAATATTATTAAGGAGCCTTTAACAACAAAATGAAACAAATTATGACAAATGTTGGCAGGAAAAATAGGTTGATGAGGACCCTGATCAATAGAGCTTATGTGGCAGAATTATTTACGAAGTCTATGGAAAGACAAAACTTGGAAATCGGTAAACATAGCCACTTTTATTGACTTTAATAGTGTAATTATTTCTAATATGTTTACACTGATGTCTAGACAGCTCTGAAAACCTCTATGCAGGAGACTGATAATCCGCTGGAGTTACTATGTAACTTGTACCACTGCACACGGCGCACTCTATACAAAACCTACACACAAACCTCTAAAGTGTGAATGTGCTTTAATTTTCCATTAAGCCAGGGATTCACTGGAGATCTCAGACTGGTTTGTAGGGGAAAAAAGGAAAATCACATTCCATAAAAATCCTACAAAAAAACAGACATCCATAGACACTTTTTAATACATTTTCTATAAATAGCATCCTTGCACTTGTGCATTCACACTGCACTAAGCAAATGTTACCTGTGTGTGGTTATGCCTAATTATATATTATCATAATTATAAACCTCTCTTTTATGGCAAACTGCGTCACTGGCTTGCCGACATGCTGCCCACCAAGGTTAGTGTTTATGACTAAGAGATAGTACATCCCCATTGCAGTGTCCCTTTAAATATAAGACAGGTTAAGCCAGTCTGAAGAAAATGTAAATAATCTGCCTTGAGAATGCTGCTTTTTCACACACAGGTACCAGACATTGGATGAATCTGCTACACATACTCCTGGGACGTTCCTCCTGTTCTATAGCACCTGGAGGGTTGGTAAAGATCAGCCATGCAGTCTCTCCGCACGGAACCTCAGATCTTTGCTGGATGCCACAGTCACTGGGCGAAATTTAGTGTCTCTTCCCATATTACATCATTAAGTGTTTTTAAAACAGACTTTTAATATGAGTGGAATTCAGAAAACCTAAAATTATATAACAATATACATTTTTTTAAATGCCCATTTTTATTGTAAGGGCTCTTTCACTAAACGTTACAGTTAGCACTGTGCAGTCAGCCACATAGGTTTTTCGTAACATTTGACTAACCCATAGTCATCCGTCAGACAGGCAGAAGTTGAAGCATTGTTAACTAGTCCAGAAAACAGTTTGCGCTATTTCACAATACAATGGCAATGCATTTTATACCACACCAGCACGTGATTGGCATTGCGGTAATCGTTGGCATGAGCCCCTTTGCATAGAATCCCGTTTCATTAGACTCCATTTCTTCTGCTGATGTTGTTTCCCTCGTCAGTTTGGAACATGGCGGTGAGTGCTGTAATAAGGACAGACCGTGTTTATATGAATGTGCTTTCTGTGAGCCCGTGTGGAATCTAGATATTATCTCTTCACAATAACAGCACTTATAACTAACTGGAGCAGCTGGAGAAGCTATAACAAAGTAGAACTTTGACAAACTGGCAAAGTACCAACATTCCAATTATGTTCCTCAAAGGGACACTCTGGTCACCATAACAACTTCATCTAAATTAAATTGTTATGGTGCCAGGAGGCCCCTGGGCTCTCTTCCCTTAAGGAGTTAAACTGTTCTCAAATATCCTCCAGTGCCAATCTCTATGTCCCACTGCCGATCCGCTGGACTGCCAGACAGCTTTTGGTATGTACCATTTTTATGAATGAGGTGCTGACCGCTCTAGCCAATCAGCGGTGCCCCTGCCCACTGGCACTCCGTTTCAGCAGCTGGATGCCACATGGGGGATCTGGAGTCAACCTTTGAGGGTAAACCATTCGAGAATGCCTTTAAGGTAAGAGCACCCAGGGGCTCCTGGCACCATAACAACTCAATTTAGATGACATTGTTATGGTGACGGGTGTGTTCCTCTATTTTAGGTACAACTATCATAGTGGGATGTTGGCCATGCTCCAATCTGGCAGGTCATTTGTGGACCTCGGGACAAAATACTTTAATCAGGGGAGTGATAAATCCTATTGCCCACCCAACATGGCCTCCAAAAAACTGTTACTCCACGCACTTCATTTTTTGTCTCGCCCTGTTTTCATAGGTATAAACGAGGAATTAATCACTCCCGAAAAATGCAGAGCTCCCCAAGGGGATCTTTCTGCTTTGGGTTATAACATAATCCTTTCAGAGGTTAGAAATAAATAAAAGGCAAAAGATAATATGTTCGATTCATCCGTTATCACCCCCGCCACAGAACACAGATCTTGAAAGCTAATTGTTTCAGACAGTAATTTTTTTTTTTTTGGTATTAGTTTTTCATGAGATTTGTGACATGTAGACCTAGGGGGGTTGAGATGAACGGAACCAGACTTCTCACACCCTTTTCGAGAATGATGAGGGGTACAGAAAGGAAGGGGGGGGGAGGTAACAATTACCTTGTAACATCATAATGTCATACACATCTTTACAGTCATGGCACATGAAAAAAGAGAGTACAGCATATGCTTGCGAAACAAAATACATGAAGCGAGTGGTTCGGACGGTACCAGTGGGTATACCAGGAAGGTGGGGGTCGCATGAGGTCGTGGCTGGTAGTGCCAATAAGGTATCTTGCTTGGGGGGAGTGTACACCCTCTTGTACACCCTCTTCGAGGCCCGAGTAGGCACTTTTTATGTGAGGGATTTACCAGCTTGAGCCTATAGATATTGTACGTGAAATAGTGAGAGAGTGGTTGTGCGGTATAGGATGGCTGGTGGGTTATACTCTGTCCTCCTGTCCTCCCCATGTGGCGATTCGGTCCCTCCTTAGTTTGGGGTAGGTGCCGAATGCCAGCTTTGCCATAGAAGTGTGTGTTTGGTCTCACGGCCTTTCAGTCTAAATGCTAGGCGTTCATATTCGTATGTCGAGTGGACCCTATTGCGTACTTCCTGAATAGAAGGGGGGTCAGAGCTTTTCCATCTGCTCGCTATGCTGATTTTGGCTGCCAGGAGGATATGGCACACGACCACTTTGTGAGGGGATGTCAGCATACCAGTGTGTATATGAAGGAGGCAGCATTCTGGGCATGCGGGTAAGTCTACCTTTGTGATGGATTTGATCAAGTCTCTGACTTGTTGCCAGAATTGTGTCAGTATGGGGCATCCCCAGAATATGTGTAGTAATGTGCCCACTCCGCTCCCACATCTCCAGCAAGTCTGTGGCGTTGAGTGGTACATCTGGGCTAGACGTGTAGGCACTAAGTACCATCTCATAAGTAATTTGCAGTAAGCCTCCCAGTGGGTTAGGTTATGGGATGCCGCTCGGGTAATTTGGATAAACTGTAGCCACATAGGGAGGGGGAACTGGGCTGCTAGGTCAATTTCCCACTGGAGCATATATGGGTGTTTTGTACATCTGTCCGCATCGTTTAGTGCATTGTAGCACAGAGAAAGGGGTTTATTAGTCTGATGTATGGAGATACAACTCCGGCCGAAAGTCGTCATTTGTTCCACCTCGCAGTGCTGTATCTTCGCAGCAGTTAGAATGTGTTTGATGCGTACGTATGTGAATATTTCCCTAGGTGGTAGGGCGAATTCTGTTTGCAGCTCGGGGAATTGTTTGATGCCCTGTGGTGTTATTAAGGAACCTACTGAGGTGATCCCTTTCTCTATCCATACTTTCAGTGGGAGATCACTGGTCAGGTCGTGCAGTCGGGACAGGGGGGCAAAGAAAAGTGGGTGAGCTTGACCCATCAGATCCGTCGCCCACCTGTTCCAGCTGTCCAACATGAATTTGGTGTTGGGCAGGCCCGTTGGGGGAGGGCTCGTACTCCTGGATACGGTCCACAGTTGTTGGTTTATTGTGTCTGGGTGAAGGATTGCGTTCTCTAGGGGTAGCCACACTGGTGGCTTGGGGCGGGTAAGGACCTCCAGACCCTGTGCTAGGACAGATGCTTTATAGTAAGCTTTAACGTCAGGGGCGCCTAGGCCTCCTTTGTTTGGTGGGAGCCATGTAAGTCTGCGTGCCATTCGTGGGGGTTTTTTCTTCCAGATGTGGGAGTTAATAATGGATTGGAATTTCTTGAGGAGCGTGTCAGGTAGCGCAATAGGGAGGGTGCGGAATAGGTACAGTATATGAGGCAGCACCATCATTTTGACGGTCTGCACTCTACCCATCCATGAGACTTCCAGTGTTTGCCACTTATCCAATTGTGTTTGTAACTTGTTCATTAAAGGTAAGTGGTTTTCTCGCGTGATTTTAGCGGGGGAAGCGGTCAGGTTGATCCCCAGGTATTTTAGGGATGTGTTTCTCCAGTCAAAGGGGTGTGCTGCTTTTAACTTGCTTATTAGCGTGGCTGGTAAGCCCAATGGGAGCACCTGGGTTTTGTTGGAGTTATTTTTATAGTAGGAGACCTGTCTGTACTGTGTTAGCAGGGACATCAGTGTAGGGATGGATTTTTCAGGTTGTGTGAGGAACAGCAGGATGTCATCTGCGAATAGGGTTAGTTTTTGTGTATCTGCCGGGGTGGTGAGGCCCTTTATCTCAGTGTGGTGTTTGATGTGATGGATGAGAGGTTCCAGGCAGAGGATGAATAGCAGGGGGGATAGTGGGCACCCCTGTCTCATTCCATTACTTATTGAGAATGGCTCTGATAGAAACCCCGTGTTGAATACCCTAGCGGATGGAGCGCTATATAGTGCCATAATGGCCTCCATGAACGAATGTGGGAAGCCCATTTTGTGTAGGGTTGCTTTTAAGTAGGCCCAGTTCAACCGGTCGAACGCCTTTTCGGTGTCGAGCCCCAGGACTACCCCCCTTTGGTTGCTGGATCTTGCCCAACTGCTCAGGTTCAGGCATTGTCTTGTGTTGTCTCCTGCCTGTCTGCCGGGGACGAACCCCGCTTGTTGTGCTGATACTAGTTCTGTGAGGAGAGGTTTTACACGGGATGCGAGGAGTTTGGCATAGAGTTTGACGTCTGCGTTAAGGAGTGAAATATGCCTCAAATTCTCACATTTAGTGGGCGGTTTACCCGGCTTGGGTAGAGTAACAATATGTACTTCCATAATTTCCTTTGGCATGGCCCCTGTTGCTTTAATGACATTAAATAATGAGGTGAGGGTTGGTGTCAGAATCTGTGCTAGCTTAATGTAATAGTAGTTTAAGAAGCCGTCAGGTCCCGGAGCTTTGTGTTTCAGGAGTGACGCAATTGATTTTGAGACCTCTTCTTCCGTGAATGGACTATCTAGTGCATCTTTTTGTGATTGCAATAAGTGTGGGAGCTCGATATTGTGGAGGAACCCGTCTATGGATTCGGGTGTCGGTTGGGCCACTTCGGAGTCGTCTTTTAAGTTGTACAATTTAGTGTAGTATGTGGCTAATGAGTTCACTATGTCCGTGGGGTTGTATATTTTTATATTTTGTTGTGATTCGATGTAAGGAATCTTCGACTGGAGGCGTTGTGACTTTAGTTTGTTGGCCAAGAGTTTACCCGCTTTGTTTCCTTGTATGTAGTGTGTTAACTTAAGGGTTCTCATGCTCCTTTCTATACTTTGTAGGAAGAGGGCATTGAGGTCTCTTTGTAAGCGGGCTATGGTTTTGGATAATTTAACGGAGGGTCTTTGTTTGTTCCCCTTTTCTGCTGCAGACAGAGCAAGGGTTAGCCGTGAGACCTCCTCGTTATGTTTCCTCTTATTGCGTGATCCTATTTGTATTAAAGCTCCCCTAACCACAGACTTGTGAGCTGCCCATAGGGATTGTAGGGAAATGCCGTCGGTCGTGTTTTCCCTAAAGTAAAGGGATGCTGTCTTGCAAATAGTTAGTAAGACACTGGGAGTGTCCAGCAGGCCTTCATTTAGCCTCCATTTGCCCCTTCCTCGGACCGGGTATAAACTGACGAAGGTGGCGGTGACTGGGGCATGGTCTGAACACGTCCTCAATCCTATATCTACTGCAGCTATGTTGGATAAGGTCAGTTTGTCGACTAACATTAAGTCAATACGTGAGTATGTCGAGTGTATGGGGGAGAAGTAGGTATAGTCTCTACCCGTTGGGTACGTGTTGCGCCATGTGTCGTATAAGTCGAATTCGAATATAAGGTCTGATAATGCTTTGCAGTTATTGTGGGCGGCAGTTGTCGGGTTTTTGTCGTGGCTACGTTTGATGTCTACTGAGGGGTCTAGGCTGCAGTTGAAGTCACCACAGATTATGGTGTGACCCTGTTTCATGGTATCAAATTTTTTAAGCGCTCTGCGTAGGAAGGTTACTTGGCCGTCGTTGGGGGCATACAGTGTTGCTAATGTTATGGTGATGCCGTTAAGTGTTCCTACCAATATTAAGAGGCGCCCTGCTGCATCCGTGTGAGTACGGCTTGGTTGGAATACCCAATCTGTGTGGAACAGTATGGAGACCCCTTTGGTTTTGTTTGGAGAGTACGCATGGAAGGCTTGTGGGTAGCGGTTGGTGTGGATTTTAGGTGGCTTGTGGGAGCAAAGGTGGGTTTCTTGTAGGCATATCACTGCCGCCCTGGATTTGTGCATGTCCCTGATTGCTAAGCTACGTTTGTGGGGGCTATTCAAGCCTTTGACGTTCATAGAAAAAACCTTAAACTTATGTTGGGCCATGGGAACGTGGGTTGGTGCACTTTTGCGCAATTGTGTGTATCATTGCTGTGTTAGAGCCATTTCTGTTCGAGAACTCAGGGGTCCTGGTGGAGCCCCTATCTACATTAGGTGCTGAGCGGGGGTACTTCTGGGGAGTTCCCAGTGAAGGCTGCGGCCCAGCTGTCTGAGGTTCCTGTATTCGCCTACCGTGTATTTTGTATGGAAAAGACGGTATGGGTGATTGTCAGAATGGGAAATGGGAAAGGGGGAAGGTGAACGCCGGGCGAGCCCGAAAAACTTGGGAAAAAAACATATTACCTCTGCTTCCAGCAGAGCGTAGCTCCGGATTCGTGTGAGGGGGGTCCTCACTCTCTTCCGGTGTGGGGGACATGGTGTGACTTCCACCATTGATTGGCCCTTGGTGTCTGTTATCAGCTTTGCATAGCGCGTGAAGGAATTCCTGTTTTCCCTGTGTTGTCTGCCCTGGTCGGTCAACCTTTGTGTGTGTTTTTTTTTTTTTTTTTTAGGGTGTCGTGTCTGACTTTCTGATGTCCCATATAACGTTGTGTGTAGCTTGGAAAGGGCCGGTTACCCGGCACAATGGCCACCTGGAGGGCGTGTGGACTTGATTCTTGTGTGTATCAATGGGGATGTGCCTAGTGGACCCCGTTCCCCTGGGCATGTCGGCGGGTTCTGTGTGTACCTCTTTCGAAGTCAAGGCAGCAGCCTCGACCTCCACACGGGGTGCCCGTCTCTCTGGAAGGAGGTGGAGTAGGTCACCCCTGGTTGCCCCCCGGGAGAACCCTGCCGGTTGTGGGCAAAACATCCCACCTTCCCTCCCCCGTACCAACCTGTGTACCGCATGTTTAGGTTAACATAAGTTTCATCACATACATATAATAACATCAGTAACATGTGGTTAGCTTTAGGTGGGCTCGTTAAAATCAGAAATCGGTATTGCTGTGGTTAGTGCTCCGTCTCAGATACGGACGGATTAGTAGTAAGAGTGGTAGCGGTGACATGCCATATCCACCAGGCATTCTATGTCAAGCCTTGAGGCTTAAAGTGGTCCAAGGGATCCGCGGGTCTAATGGCCATATGGGACGCAGTAAATCGGGCCGGTCTTGGGAGCCTGTGTGCTCGATCAAACTCCCATGCGGTAACTTCAGTTTGCGGTGCCAGTGCTTTGCAGAGGGCTGTAAGATATTGGGGTAGCGCTTCGTTGGTGATTGAGTCAGCTATTCCCCTGAATCTCAGGTTATTGCGGCGGGAACGGTCTTCTATGTCCGCCAGTTTGTGTTTTAAAGCCGCTTGTTCCTCTTCCAACCTTTGTAGTTTGTCGACTACATCGTTATGGGCCGCACATAGCTCTTCGGTTTTAGTTTCAAGGTGGCTGGTACGGCCTCCTATGTCCGCGATGTCCTTTCTCAGCTCATTTGTGAGCTGGCGTAGGTCCGAGTGGAGCGATGCCTTCAGGGTCTGGAGCATGGTATGTAGGCTTTTATTTGTGACAGGCATATCGTCTACGGCCTGCATTTCGCATTCGTGATCTGTGTGGCATTCCGGCGATGGCGGGAGCTCCGCGTGTCCGTCGCCATCTTGTGTCGACCGAGGTTTGTCTTTTTTGCCATGGCGCACCGGATCAGTTAGCTTGGTCTGTTTAGAGGGTGCCATGTCGCTCTTTAGGGTGGTCCCTGCTCGTTATCGGGGTCTGCTGTGTTTTTTTTAGCTGCTCATTTGTTGCTCTGGGCCTGGTGGAGTACGGAGCGTTCACAGCATGCGACTACTCCTCTCGGTGGTCGGCCACACCCTCCTTCTCACACCCTTTTAAGGCATATTTCCAGTGAACGCAGATCAGCGCAAGCAGCTACCGTGCTATTTTACACTTGGTGTTGTGACGGCAGGCGGATTGCTTTTTCTCTCATATTGTGATTGCCTTGCAACCTAGCCATGAAAACATCTCAAATATTTAATCATCTGTAACTTTGTGCAGGATTATTTGAAGCCGACTTTGTAACAGAACCAATTAAGGGGAAAAAATAAGTGTTAAGAGGTTTGTTTGTTTTAACTATATCCAGAAATAGGATTCCTTGTAACTGCCAAGGAAATAATCACATTAAAAACAAAACATTCTCTTGAAGTCAAATGTCCTAGCATAATTAAAGCTCGAAGTTTGAAAGGGATTTATTTTTATGCAAACAGAAACAGCGTAGGAAGATATTATATCTTTAGATAAATTTAGGGCAGGATGGAGTTGGTCAAATATAACTTTAAGAGGACACTTGGATCTTGAAGTTGATATCTAGATCTTTGAGTGATCAGCAGTTCGTCCAAATTCCCGAACTCTGAAACTCTATATGGACGAATCACGAAAATAAATTAAACGGTTATTGCGCAACATTTTATGGAAAAAATTATGATTGATTTGATACAGGACAGCCACTAAGATTTTATTCACAGATCAAATGAGAAGTGACTGATACAGCGACAGAAAGGAAAAGCAGTGACAAATCTCTACTGGTTTTTCGTTTCTTACTGCTCCGCCTTGCCTTCCTTTTTTACTTCTTCTCATTTGATCTGTGAAATAAACAATGCAAAAATGCACCTGTCGGGGGGCGGAGCTAACCACCGAGCTGATCAGACGCCATTGCTGACAGCTCCGGCTCTAATCTTTACTATCTTCTTCAATCTGGAGAATCACCATAGATCCCACCATCCTAGACCCATACCCCGACTTGGGACACCGAGCTGCATCGATAGATGCCCTTCTTTTTAAAAAAGCCGACGCCAAAACGGCAACGTAGGGCTGGGGCCTACTCCAAGCAGCCACTGTCCGACCTGAAGGCGCTCCTCGGCGGAGTTTACCAAGGCCTTGCACCTAACTTGACTACCGAACCCCATCCCAGTCTGGTGGACCACATGCCTGCCATGGGACTACGTTCCTAGAAAGCCAGCACCCAGACAGAAGGGAGAGACATAGGGGCTATGCTACAACTGCCCGCTAGGCCCAAACCGGTCCCAGAAGAAAGCCAGACAGCTACCCCACAAATGGACCACACTGATCATCCAGGGAGCACCGATTTCAGCACCATACCACCAGCTCCCCCGGGGGATCGCCACCAGCGACCAAACATGACCTGCAGATACTCCTGCATTATTTCCACAAAATGCTGGCGAAGGAGCTTGCAGGACTCAGAGCTGACTTACAAAGCACAAACGACCAGGTGCGTGCCACAGAGGCTGACATGACAGAAGTCACAACAAATTTAACAAACATACAGGCCTCGGTGCAACAGCTCCAAAAGTCCCAACACAATCTGACCTGAATGCCCTCGAGAACAGCCATAGATGCAATAATATAAAAATCCGAGGCATTCCAACGAGTGTCACGTCAGAAGAGCTGCCACATTACATAAGAAGGCTAATAGCAACAATATTACCTCCAGCGATGGCAAGAAAACTGGTAACCGATGGAATATACCGGGTCTCAGGCCCCCCAAGAGCTCCCTCACAAACAGCACGTGACGTCATCCTACGCTGTATGTCCTCACAAGACAAGGGACAGATAATGGCGGCACTGCGGGGCAAGACCCCACTATCATTTGAGAACTCCAACCTAACCTTCTATCAAGATCTAACAAGGGCCACCCTCCAATGGCGACGATCACTCCACCCAGTTACCAAACAACAGCGAGCAGCCAACATGAGCTACAGGTGGGGAGCACCAGGATTGCTGCTGGCCACTCACAACGGGACTACCCATACACTTACCTCTCTTGCAGAAGCCCCGACCTTTCTTGAAACTCTGGGACTGAAGGCGACGGACACACAAACCCTAGAGGGAACTTGGAACCCGGATAACAGTGTCCCCTTCATCCCACGCACCGCCCCGGCACACCACCAGTCCACATGAACGCAGCTGAAAGAAACAATCCCAAGGACACTGCATAGAGATTATGAATAACCGGGCTCTACGGACACCACTAACGATAAGAATGTTTATTTACCTGTTTATATGTTACTAAGCATAGCGCAGCTCAAATTAGGGCATGAGCGATAGAGACTTATACCTATACTTACGATAAGAATGTTTATACATCAGTTCACAAGTTGCACAGCATGGCGCAGTTCAAATCCTGGCATGAATGATAGGGTTTCCTACCTACACCTACCTGACACACCGGGACCTCCCTTAAGGGCCCCGAATCCACCACAGACACCTACCACCGTGACAACCCCCCCCCTTGGTTAGGGGTATCAAACAGTACACACCTATCATTGAGCACCACACTGAGATGGAAACGCAACCGAAGGGATGGCAAACACACACACGATCAATACGATACCTATTTATAGCAGCATTCCACACCGGAATTAATCCCAGACATAGGACCTACACGGTACTGTTTGCTAAGAACACGGTTCTGAGCTACTAATGACACCTACCTACAACCCAAGCATCTTCTCTGCACACATAGTCTCAGAACCACGAATCCAACCTTAATTTCAAGCTTGATATTACTCATGAGCATTGACATGTCTTGTACACCTTAGGGAGATCACTGTTTTTTGGAGGGGACTGTTTGCCAGCCTCCTGCCCTGCGACTATGGCCCTGGGATGTATTGCCCTTTAAGGAACTGATTTGGGCAGATTGTATTTTATTATGCTGCTGCTGGCCCTTTAAGAACCATCTGGGGACATACTGTGGAGTTACTAGGTGGCCACCATTTCATGTATCAGAGGCACATGGTGAGAACAATGGATGGCGGCCATTTTAACTCACAGACACTGTTTTGACTTTTCTACACTGTGCCATCTCGCCGGTATTTGGTGCACAAAGACATCGTTCAGTAGTTTTAAACTACAGAACAGGGGGCACATTTAACAGTAATTATTTTTAATTTAGCCTGTATATGTTCTGCGGAATCTGCATTAAACCGTATCTTCCAAACTACTGAACGGATCTGGGTGAATTTTAGATATGTGGTTCACCCAGATCCCCCGGTTCTGGGTGAACGGTTTTATGGGGTTATTGCATGTTTTGGGGTCCCTGTGATATGTTTTATAATACTGTATTTTCCTGCCTGTGGTAATTAAGTTAGTCTGTTGTGTTGAGATAATTGTATCACAGGCAGAGGGGAGGATTTCTAATGTAATGAATGGGAGTGTTAGCTGTGTTTATTGGTTGTTCTTCAAAACCCTCTGGGCAGTACTATGTTTGTAGAATGTGAATAAAAGAGGCTGTATGTGCCAGTACAGACAGTTCTACTTCACCCTCAATCTAGAGTCATGTCTCTTATTGGGGGAATTGCTATATCACTACAAGGGATTGATATGCTCTGCATGCTCCCTTAGCTAATCACTACTAAACTCTTTTAAGAGCTTGTTCCTGCTTCACTCTCTTGGAGGAGAGGTTCATCCACTGGAACCTGGAGCCTTGTCGTAGGTCCAGGGTGGATAGGAGACGGCGAGACCCCAACCAAGCTGCTGCGGTTCGTGGGGTCTACGGTGGTTGTGGTGCCTGGAGGAGCGCTTGGAGCCCTCTTTAAGTGCTAGGAGCATCCTTCAACGGAGGTACCCAGTCAGGGTGCCAGGTGATCCATTACAGGGACACTATAGTAAACAGAAAAACTACAGCTTAATATAGTTGTTCTGGTGTCTATAGTAAATCCCTGCATGCATTTTGCAGTAAACACTGTCTTTTCAGAGAAAAGGCAGCGTTTACATTACATTTTAGGGATACCTCCACTGGCCACTCCTCAGATGGCTACTAGAGGTGCTTTCTGGATTAATGCTGCACACTGTGCTGCACTGACATTCAGCGTCCCCACGTTCTGCATGGAGACGCTAAACGTTCCCCATAGAGATACATTGATTCAATGCATCTCTATGAGGAGATGCTGAACTGGCCAGGATAGTGTTTGGCTCCACCCCCATCTTGCCTCCTTGGCTGAGATCACCAGAATTGCTAATCTCAGCTAATCCAATGCTTTCCTGTGGGAAAGCGTTATGTTTTGCTGAGATTATAATTTTTGATGATGTCAGCCGAGAAAGTGGATCGGGGGCGGTGCCAGAGGTGAGGAGCTCCGCGCGGCACTGGAAAAAGGTGAGTAAACAACTTTTCTAACCCAAGGTAAGTGTGCCAATCACCTACACAGTGATTTTAGAACGATAGTGTCAGGTATACACGTTTGTGTTCCTGACAATATAGTGTTCCTTTAAATCATGTTATGTCCATTTTGAAAATGTTTGTATTTACCCCAAATTAATGCAAGATGCTTCTAAGACACTTGTTCATGCGGTTGTCATTCCCACTTTGATTATATGACTTGTATATGTCCTTCTCTCCCACTGAGTGCACTTCTATAGGTCTGGGTCTCGTATAGGGGGCTCTTGTTCTGCTCTCTGTCTCCCAGATGTTTAGTTGCCACTGTTATCCTGAAACATTAGTGTGTAGAAATTACTAATGACAAGACTCACAAGTATAAACCCTTGTCTCCAATCAGCATCAGAGCATCTTGTGTCTCCCCGCTGTGTCTGTACGTGTTGATCTGATGACGCATTCTATTAGCAGTTCCTAAATCAGATTGTAGACTACACTTCCCATAAATCCTAGCCAGCAGCTACTAGTAGAGCAATAGTCATGAAAAAGGTGCGTTGAGGTGTGGGCTAATTTTAATCACACCCACTGTGGGGCGCCAAAACAGTTCTGCAACAGCATGTCTTGACCCTTATGCAAATATTGGTATTTGAGGAAAAGCAGGTGGTCGGATTATTTATTAAAACAAGGCTGACTCAGGCTCCGTCTCTCGTTATATCCGCAGGTTTCTATAGCATTGAACTCTGTTACGTAATCGACCTTTGGTCGGGAATAACAACACATTTGAACATTGTATTTCCAACACACAGGCCGTTGCTCAATAAATATTTCAACGTTCACAAAGTGAGGGTTGGATAAGGGTCATGGGATAAGCAGAGGACATGACAATGTGAAATCCTTAGACCTGAACTAAAGTAACCCGTATTATCTAACCAAGACTGGTGTCAAACATCCACAAAATGTTCATAAAAGGGTAAATGTGGTGGTGGTAGGCTTGAAGGCTGTTAAAATTGGACCAGGGCAACACAGTAGGCTCAAGGCCTAGTGCAGATGATTTCTTCAGATTAGGGAGACTATTGAACTTGTACAACACCTTCATGTTATGAACTTAAAGGGACACTATAGGCACCCAGACCACTTCATCTCACTGGGTGCAGTGTCGCTGTCTCCCTAGCTCTGCAAACTGCAATGTTTATATTGCAAGTTTAAGACAGCCTCTAATGCCTGTCTACCAGTAGATTCACTTCCTGCTGTTTTACAGAGTTTAAATCCATGAAACGATGTTGGTCATCTTCGTGCCTTCCATAAGGACATCCAGCATTTTCAATTCCACATAAGAAAGCATTGTTTCAATGCTTCCCTATGTGGAAGATCTAATGCACATGCAGCGCTCGCCACGCATGTGCATTACATTTCCTCTCGACACTGACATCAGAGGAGACAGAGCCAGCTCCGAGGGACCTCGTCGCTATAATTCGGTGAGTGTAAAAAGGGTTTTTAAACCCTTTAATTGCCAATGTGGGGGGGAGGGTAGGAACTCTGTATTCCTAATACTAAAATGTTCCTTTAAAGGAACACAGCAGGCACCTTAACTACTACAGTAGTTATGGTGCCAGGAGTGCTCTGGTGCCCCTCCATTATTAGTAGTCAACCATTTTTGAATGGTTTGATTTCTTTTTGGTGTCTGCTGGACATCACTCCCTACCTCCACTACTTTAGTTCATAACAGTTTGACTACTTACAAGGTGGAGAGGGGGGGGGAGCGGATGATAGGATACTCCTGGCACCATAATCACTACAGTGTGCTGTAGTGGTTATGGTATTTGGAGTGTTTCTTTCACACCTGCTGCTGCCATAAATTTGAGGTATGTTAAAACCTGGAGCAATTTGCTTCATGGGAATAGGGTGGACATAAAGGAACACTCCAACCAAACACCATAACCATTACAGTGTGCTATAGTGGTTATGATTCCAGGGATATCTTGGCTCTTCAACAATGTAAGTAGTCAAAACATTTGCTAATGGTTTCACAACTTAGCTGGTTTCTGCCTGAAGCTCTCTGCCCTAGTCTAGTGGTAAAGGGCTTAGCTCATTGGCTGAGAGTAATAAGCTGACACTCTCAGCAAATGATACAGCGCTCTCTTGTACTTGGCACGTCTACTTTCATTGAGTAGAGAAAGTGTAACTTGCAGGAAAAAGAGAAGAAGGGAAACCCATTTCCGAGGCTTCAATACGAGTACCCCTGGGGCAGCACTACAGCTACAGATCAGCCATCACCACAAAAAAACCTACTGGGTCAATTGCTATCCTTAAATGCAGCATGTTGTTCAGTGGGGAGGGGGGTCCATTTGCCCTGCTGCAGCCCCCCGCTCTATATACACAATTGCTGCAGTCTAGCATTTGGCACTCAAGCCTCTGCAAGCTACCATGTTTCCCTGAAAATAAGACCGGGTCTTATATTTATTTTTCCCCAAAAAACACAATAGGGCTTATTTTCGGTGGAGGTCTTATTTCGGGGAAAAACGTGTGCTAGAAAGCAGGTTTATGTTCGGGGGAATTCCCCCGAACATAGACCGATTCACTAGGGCATGGAATCCTGCAAAGCTATGTTCGGGGAAACTTTCCTGAACATAGATTAGCTTACTCACTAATTGGAATACCGCAAATCCATGTTCCAGGAAACTTCCCCGAACATAGATAAGTTCACTCGCGAATGGAACCTTGCGTATCTATGTTCGGGGAAACTTTCCTGAACATAGATAAGCTTATTGGTGAATGGAATCTTGCGTATCTGTGTTCGGGGAAAATTCGGGGTAGATTAGCGAACGGCTAGGGTTTATTGTCAGGGTAGGGCTTATATTAGGAGAATCCCCCGAAAATAAGCTAGGGCATATTTTAGGGGGATGTCTTATTTTCGGGGAAACACGGTATGACCTGCGACTCCCAAGATCCTCAGTCAGATGTTGCCCATCCCAAATATCTGATGATCTGTTATTTAATCTATTGTGCCATTAACCCTTTCTATGCGTTTGTTCAAATATTAACCTGCATTGTGTACAAGAGAAACAAAATGTGATAGACAGTGTGAAAAAGGAAAATAAAATCCGGTGAACACAATTCTTTAGAACCATGCCTTGCTGCCCTGTACGTGGTAAACATAATTAACACCCACTTAAGTGATATTATCGTCAAAATTTTATTATTTTATGTTTTAAGAAGGTGTCCGTTTCAAATCAACTTCTATTTTTTCCATTAATTTCAGAACAAAAGACCCTTGATGTAGATGAACATTATAATTGTTTCTTCTTTTTTCTCCTTTAATTTCAACCACTCGTTAGATTTTTTTCCCCCCTGTTTTTGAAGTTCCACATACAAAGGAATAAAATTGAGCACTAGGTTTTGAACAAAATGTTTTGTCACCTCGCAAGGCATTTGCAAGATGGTGGTATAACCATTCAGTAGTTCAAAGGCTTTATCTTTAACCCCTTAAGGACACATGACATGTCTGACATGTCATGATTCCCTTTTATTCCAGAAGTTTGGTCCTTCAGGGGTTAATGGGAGTCTCTGCTTCTGAAACATTGTTGTCGTACTGATGATCATAACTCAAGGCTCTGCCAAAAACTGGTGACTTTTTCCAGAGAAGAGGTATCGGTTCTCTAGTGCTGACATTTTAGTGTGAACTGGAAAAGTCAGTTTTTCAAATCTTAGGCCAGAATTTGACTATTTTGGCCTTAGACGGATACTAGTGCCTCTGCCTCCCCCTCCCATCCCAGCCAATAAAAGGTTAAAACCCTTTTATTTACTTACCCAATCCCAGCGCAGATGACCCTCGGTGCTGGATTTTGATCTGCGCCTCCTCCGACATCACCTGACAGGGTACACCTAATGTGCATGCGCGGCAAGGGATGCGAGCACATTTATCCCTCCCCAGAGGAAAGCATTATATCAGTGCTTTCCTATGGGGTTTTCACTCACGCTGGGTGACTTCATGCAGAATGTAAGGACATCCAGCATCAGTTAGATGACCTAAAGCCTCCTAGCAAGCAGGAAGTGCCTCTAGTGGCCGTCTGATTGACAGCCACTAGAGGCTGTCTTAGTGCTGCAATGCAATAGGGACACTGCACCCAGAGAACTTCAATGAGAAGTGGTCTGGGTGCCTATAGTGTCCCTTTTAATTTAAAATTTCTGTTGAATTCCTGACAGTACACGCATTAGTGACTAACCCAGAGTGAGTACAATTCCAGCATATAAGCAACACATTGTAGTATATCTAAAAATGATGCAAACAATATTGTCAGAAAGCATTTTCAGACAAGATCATGTGTTCTCCATGAGCCGCAGAGTCAAGTGAGGTCAGCAGGCTCTAACGCAGTAGCAGGGCTCCCAAGCTGCCGGATTATGATTTAATTAAAACTTAATGATAACCCAGGGCCAATACACTCTATCCTGTATGTTCTGCAAGAGAGAGAAATATAGTTCTACACGCCAATCGCTCTGTGCACTCTTTTTATCTGAATCTGAGCTGCGTTCTGCCAGAACACACGGCAGGATTAATTTTCTTCAAGGTTCAACTAGTAGGCGGTTTGACGAAAGCCCTGCAACTGAAAAAGGATAAAACCTGTTTTATTATTTGAGAGTCTGAGAAACCGAGAAAAGGGCTGAGGGAAAAAAATCAGATTATAAATCTTACTCTGTGTTCAAAAACCTGTGCTTGCCATATCACTATTATAGAATACTTGACTTTCTAATAGATCATCTAAATTCTAATTCCGACACTTTTGGCAGCATATTACATAGCCATTAATATCCTGAACTGAGCACTGGATACGAACGCTCTGCTAGAAGTTTGTAATCTGCATTCAAGATTAAAAAAAATAAAAAAATTAAAAAAATTAAAATTAGCTTTAATTTAACTGGTCAATGTGAATAACGCAAACATCTAATTCTGAAATTCCACACTTAACGACCTCCAAGTCCTTACTGGAAGTTACGAACAAACATTTAAAGGGACATTCTAAGCACCATAATAACTTTGCATGATTGCGGAGTTCTGTGCATGCACTCTGCTGGCAGCACTGAGACAGCCTCCCTGCCCGAGACACAGCGAGAGAGACATTTTGCTCCCTTTGCTACTGTGTCATTTCTGTCTCTCTGCTCATCCAGATGCATAGTTTGATGGCTGAAATGATCACTGCACTCAGGCCAGTTCACAAAACGACGAGCAAAACAAGGGGGGGGAGGGAAATACAGCAACTTTGGTACGGCTGCTCTCATGGTATAGTGCAGTTGTGAATGAGAGGCTTCTGATTGGTGGACCCACTTCACTTATCTACTGGATGTTTTAAAAGTGGGGCTTATTTGGAACATACACAGAGGTATATGGTAAAGTGATAATTCAAAGTTAATTTCAAATTAAAAGCCAGAGTACATGAAATGAAAGCGTAGCTGACTTCCAGTTCTGCTGTTTGACCTTATTTTGAAATTCACTTTGAACTCCCACTTTAGTGGATAACCCGGATTGTGTCCTGTTGTGTTAAGACCAAATATTTTTGCTTATGGAAGAGAAATTTGAGTGGAATAGAGGAGAACTGACAAGGGAATCACGTTTTATCCCAAAACAGGCACACTCTGAAAATGTTCTAATTCTGCTATTTTGGCCTATAATTGTTATGTTTTTTTTTTATTTCTAGTGGTTTTGCAAATTCACAAGCATTTATTACAACACATCTTTCTTTTTTTTTATTTGGAAATATAAGAATATGAATACTTAAAATGCAGGACTGTGCTGTAGCACACGGGACACTTGTCAGGTATACATTGTCACTGAGGGATGATCAGGATGTCTGCACTATGTGTCTGCCAACTATATGTTATATTTAAAGCAGGGAGATTTGGCTCATCCCTGTTACTCAAACAAACAGATTGATTACACGTAACCATTTCTTATCAAATACTGAACAAAGGATATCTTGTGCGTTCAGCTTGCCCATGTCCCATGAACGTCTAGGAGTGAGCTGTTTCTCTGGTGAGAGAGATCTGAGCAGCTACACAAGTGTCAGTAGCGTCTGAAACATTCATTTTATTCTTTTAAAAATATATATTTTTATTATTTTAATGCATTAAAATAGGATTTTTTTTTTTACCCTATTGTTTTCCTTTAAAGGCGAACGGTTATGCCCCCGGAGTTTGAATATGTTTACTTATCGTTTATCGATAACGAAAGCATTTCTGATCTGATTCTACCATTTTTTATTTTTTTTTATTTTTACAGTTTTAATATACATACAAGCTTGAGGTACCCCAATGGCAATCCTCAGGCATATTAGCAAGCTTCACGTTTTGGGTAATAGTCTTAACACATGCACGATTTTATGTTTTAAATAGGCAACTTAAGGCATTATCGAGTAACTCTTGCTTATTAGGTACTGGGATTAGAAAGTAAACCGAGTAACAGACTAAGATAGGGTAGTTTAAACATTCCAGCTTAGAGAAATATTAGTGGGCAATGCATGCTGCTTGTTATAAGCTGGGTAGCTGCCTTAACTGTGGGAGATAAATTCACCCCATAGGTCCCTATAGTTAAAGGACCACTATAGTGCCAGGAAAACAAACTCGTTTTCCTGGCACTATAGGGTCTTTACGCCCCCCTCCCCCCCCTCCTCCTCCACCCTCAGGCTCCCACTCCCGCCGGGCTGAAGGGGGAGGAAGGGGTTAATCACTCACCTTTCTCCAGCGCAAGGCTCCCTCGGCGCTGGGGACTCTTCTCCCTCTTCCGACGTCATCCGCCGAATGCGCGTGCATCTAGGTTAACCCTAGATGGACCTGGCACCCAGACCACTTCAATGAGCTGAAGTGGTCTGGGGGCCTATAGTGGTCCTTTAAGCATGGGTATGATCAATCAGGTTGGCTCGTCATAAAAGCTTAGATTTTGCGATACACATAGTAGGTAGATTTGGATCAGTGGGGCATACATGCAAAGTGTCCTCTTGAGTCTCAGCTTAGCCAATGCCCTCTGTAGGCTTAGTGTGGTCCCGCTGCAAGCCGGCTGTCTATATGCGTTGCGGTTTCGTCACTGCTGATCGGGAGGTGCTGTATGGCAATCTAGAGGTAGGATGCGGTGTCTTGCGTAGGAGACCAGCTCCCCGTTCCGACTAGAGAGTAGGTTTTCACGGGCTAATTTCCGATGGCCGCTGCTGTTTTGCGTCCGCTAGCCTGTTGTGCCTCCATCTCTTCCGCCTGCTTCGCGCCTGCCCCCGAACCGGAGCCGACACCCTGTGTTGAGTCTCCAGAGGTAAGCGTTGTGCTAGGGCACTATGGTGTGTGCTTGTAGCAGGCTGCTGCAGATTTCGGGCCCGCTTGTGCCAATGAGCCGCACTGAATGCGGTGAGTGCAGGGAAAATGCTGTTAGTCCATCTGACCTCGGCACTTGCGCACATGGCCTCTGCCATTTTAGGTGAAGTGCCTGGGCTGCAGGTCGGAATGGTAGTATCGCTGGGTCTTGGTTGCGTTTTAGGGGGCCACAGGGTGAGGACTGGGATCACCCCCACCAGTCCAGAGGTGGGGGGAACAGGGCTAGTTCCACGCGGATTCGTGATATCCATTCACTCTTGTGAAATTCACTCAGCGGTCTGTTAATATTTCCTTCATTATTTGTTTTCGCATTAAATAAATGGGGGGAAAAAATTTAAAATGTTTTGATTTGTCTGAAAACGAATGCACATGATTAGTAGCCTTACCGTTTTCACTCCTGCATCATAGAATAATAGCAATAATATATAATATTTACGCCAAGCAATGCCATAGTGAAATGTTGTTCATTTGCATTGACCATTGGAGGTGTCACAAAGGGTA